CGGTCTTTCTTTTTTTTTTCTTTCTTGCTATCTTTCTTTCTTTTTTTTCTCTCCTTCTTTCTTTCTGTCTTTCTATCTTCCTTTTTTTCTTTCTTTCTTTTTTCTTTTTTTCCGTCCCTTATCGACGTCAGAATTGAACTCCTAAGTGCCCTCACCCACCTCCTTCTTCCCAAATTATTAACACCCCCCAAAAAAACAACAACAACCAAAAAACAAAAAAACCCCCCACACAAACAAATACAGTATACGCACTCACACATACACACAAACACGCACACACACACACACACACACACACACACACACACATATACACACACACACACACACACACACTCACACATATCCCCCACACACAAACACCCATCTTACCTCCACGTTTTGAGAAGAAGCGCCCCGTAAGAGATGGAGAATCCGATCTCTCTAAACCACAGCTTCATACAGCATGTAACGGTGCTAGCCTCAAAGTAGCCCACGATAGACTGGGGAACAGACAGGCAAATACATATAGTGTCATCATAGAACAGAAGTGAATATGGGAGATGATGGAATTAAGTGCTGGAGTAGAAAGATACAACAGGAGATCATAATAGAATAAAAGTGAATGTGTGAGATGATGGAACAGACAGGCGAATACATGTGTCGTCATAGAATAGATGTGAACGTGGGAGATGATAGAATTAAGTGGTGGGGTAGAAAGATACAACGGGAGATGACGCAGAGGAACAGTTCATACCTACAATTTATTATTAAATTGTACGTGCATATGACAATGTATCACATGCAGCACGCGAGTTTGTGTTTCTGTGTGTTGGTTTTTGTGTGTATATACTCACGCATACACACACGTGAACACATATGTGCGTACACACATTTTCCTGTGTCTATCACGACGTCTGAACCGCCTGATCTCGATACCTTTATCATTTTCCACTCACTCATGCTCGGATAACCCTCGCCCAAACTTAATTACCTCCCTTGTCTATTCTTGCCCTTTCCCAGTTATCGAGCCTGATCCCAAGTTATGATAATCCCGCAGCCAGACTGAGAGGGGTTCACACGATTCTCAATAACTCCCTCGGCCGATGATTACATTCCATCTCGCCATCTCAATTCTCCAAGGGCACATGCAGTGCTGCAGGATATTACGGACACACGGATATCATTTATATATTTTTCCCCCGTCATGTCTTTTTCTATGATGCTTGCAAATGGCTTATTGAAATCTGGACGACGGAAAATGTAGAGTGCAAAACATGTCACGAGGTCAAAACACCCCACAGTTTTTCTTTATCACGTACAGGGCACCCAGTTAAAGGTCAGCTCGAGATAAAGGTTTCATCCTATAATTTTCAGCTCATCTTTTTTTTTACTTTCTCTTGTCTAACTGCTTCCTTCACCTTTCTGCACTGCATTTAAAAAAGAAAGACCCCCCCTCTCCCCCACACACACAAAACGTACTTTAACAGATAGCCGCCACACGGCCCCTCTGCGAACAGAACCCCAAGAAGTAATCAAAATGATTCTTTTCGTCTCCACAATTTGAATCTTTTGTCGAGTACATTTTATCGTGAATGACACATTCCGTCAACGCCAATGATAAACAGGAATCTCTAATTTTCGAGAAACACACATAAACTATACAGGTGGGCTTACACCAAAACTTTTTCAACCCCCCATGGCCCCACTTCCTAAATACACATTACTTCCTCTTGACAAAAGCTAAAAGAGGTAACAGAAATAAAATATTGACAACCTCCCTCGCATAAAACAACGCACACAAAACGCACAAGATTGATATCTATCCTTGACCCTAAACATCTTACCAATAATCCGTTATCAAATTGAGTCACGTTAGGAGCTAAAACATACAGAGGATAGCGAGCGTCCTATTGTTTCTATTGACGGGCTTACTCTCAGACCCAATGTGTCAGAAGCCAGACTGTTTACAGCCGAATTATTCACACAGCAGAATCTAAGGGCGTCATCATAGCTCATTTATGCAAAACACAGCCTCAGTTTGGAGGTCGAGGGGTGACTATATATTGTCATATCCTTTACACAGATATACTTCTATTTCGTTTTTCTTCTTTCCAGTTGAATATGTGCGGCCCAGTTTCCAGAATTTGCCAGATAACCGTCAAATAGTAGCGTTGTATCAGGCAAGGTACGCACTAAAAGACGGAGATAACATTTATGCATTCTTCCTTGCATCCATTAAAACCGGACGGAATGATAGCTCTTTTCCCCCTTCTTTCCTTTTTAAGGTTCTTTTCGTGTTTGTTTATTGTTGTTTTTATTTTAACAAATTTTTAGGTTGCTTTTTTGTGTTTTTGTTTTTATCAGTGCATTGCATCTACAGGCTGCTGATTCTTCATAAGGCCATAGAGCAAGATAAAAGGACGGTTGTGGTTTTCGTTTAGTTAAGATATACGTGGCAGCTATAGGCTGTCATCAAGGCCCTTTCCTCTCTTCCTGTGGGTATATGTGTTCTTTAATCGTGGTCTATTCAGATATCGCTGTTACGTACAAATAGATGTACTTATAATTATTGAGGTGTTACACCCCGGTCGACACAATTCAGTTCATTTAAGAGGCAGGCTGTTTCGAACCTGCCTGTCTGTCAAGGCCCACTTGGACAGAGAGCTACAACGTTCTAGGAGATAGATGGAGATACTCGATAAAATAAATGCAATCCCACTTGGGAATTGAACTCATGCTTTCTGCGCGCGACAACGAAGTGTATTACCGCTACACCACAGACACAGATCTGTTATCTGAGATAGGAACGCTTCTAGATTAAGCACATAAGAATTTCTGTGAGGGTAATCACATTTGAGAAAAATAAAAACATATGTTTTTGTTATCTCGGTTATAATACATTTCTAGAAATGAGCGTCGATTTCTTAGGAGGATTTCTTTAGAGGGTGAATCACTTCATAATGGTGCACTGCATTCGTTCATTTTTAGGCACTTTCAGAATGTTGTTTTCATTTTGACACCACATTCTCATACAAAAGCCACCATATTTGTTCAATAAGTAAGTGGGGTGGTAGGTTTTTTTTCTCTTAAACCTAACATTAGAAATTACAACTGTACAGTTTTACCATCGACGTCTGTGGTATTCTGGCTAGGATATTTGGCGCCACACACAGAAGACATGAATTCCATTACCGTGTAAGAAAGTTTTTAACCTAGTATCTCCTTCTGTCTACTGAGATGTTGTATACCTCCTAGCCCATGACTATCCTGACGGGCAGCACCTTTTCAGCCTCTTCCTGAACGACCAAAATTGAGTCGATGGCGGAGTAAAACATCTTCAACTACAAATTATGCATTTTACACTTACAGGGCAGTAGAGGAAAAACGCTCCAAAGAGGACAACTCTCATTAGTACAGGGCTAGCAGCTTTCAGAACCTGCAGACACACAGAATATGCCTAGGTGAAATATTGAAACAAAGAAATAAAACAAATTAAAAACAAGGATATTTATACGAACAAACAAAAGGCTGTATTCTTTGAATAATCACTCAGATACCCAGACATACATACACACGTAAACACACACAAGTGTGGGAACGCACACACATACACACACACATACACACACACACACACACACACACACACATGAACGCGTAGGCACCTACACTAAGCCTTTGTCTATCTCTCTTTATCCCTGTCTCTCAGTCCCCTGTCCCCACTCTCTCTCTCTCTGTCTCTCTCTCTCTCTCTCTCTCTCTCTTTCTCTCTCTCTTTCTCTCTCTCACCCACTCTCTCTCTGTCTCTCTCTCTCTCAAACAAACAAGCAAACAAACAAACATCTACATCCCAGTCCCAAGTGCCATGTCCTCACCTTAACATTCCTATAGTGCACCGTAAACCAGACCAACACGAGCAGAAACGACACAATGAGACCCGACAAAGCCAGGAGAATAGAGCGCAGTATCCAGTTAAGCGCCAGCACACAAGGTGAAGGGTCAGTACATACGTCACAACCCTGAGCACACGGCAGACACTCAAAGTCGTCATCATAACGGTTGGGAACTCCCTGGTGAATAGATAAGATAAGATAAGATAAGATAATATAAGATAAGATAAGCAAGACGTGATGAGGTAAGAGATTGTATAAGACATGGCAGTACAAGAAAAGATACTAATATGACAAAATAAGATGAGGCAAGACAGGAAATGAATAAATATGTTAATAACAAGGTAAGACAGGATAAGTCACAATTATTATTAGGATTGTTATAGTACATTATTGAGTCTCCTTTCATTAGCGTGTACGGTACAACATATACACAAATAGCATTATAGCGACACATCACATTTTCCCTCTCTCACGTATACACTCTCTCCCTCAGTACAAACATCATATCATAACACGATAGATCTGTGGGAAAACAAAGAGCGTGAACTTGTAACAGAATAAATGAAATATTTATAACATTTGTTGAATGCATAAATAAACACTAGAAAGATGGGTGGAGGTTGAAAAAGAAATGTGAGCGCTGATGAGTAGATTACAATAATGTTGACACAAAAATGAATTTAATCGTTAAAAAAATAAGTCACCCTCATTATATGAAAACAGAAGTGATACAATAAAGCGTATAATTTTCTTTTAGTAAGAGTTTTTTAAAGGCAAGTGCAACACAGTTAGGCTGTATAAGTATCGACGATTAGGGTGGTACAAGAGAGTAACAAACACAAAAAAGAAGGAGAAATAAGGGCGGTAATGTTTGATAGGAAAAAAGGAGCAAACCACGAGCACCCCCAACCACCCACAATCATGTAATCATACGCCACACACTTCGCCGATTCGTATGTATTGACAAATGTGAAGGATATTTTTACTGCACACAATTAGTCGTCTCTTAGAGTTGGAAGAAATGAAAGAAAGCGAAAAGCATAAACAAATTGATTGATTGTAATAATAACTATATTGTTTTACGTCTCCATCGGCATAATCTAGATCATTAAGGTGGCAGGTTGCTTCGAGATAGATAGAGGGAGGAAGGGAGAGAGAAGAAAGAGTGTGTATGCGTGTGTGTGTGTGTGTGTGT